GCGAAGAACCGGCGATCAACTTCCTCGAACTCATTGAATACCGGCTGACTTATGTCCCGAGCCGGCGCACCTAACCGCCCTTCGTCCACGACGTCATCGCGAGGATCGCTAAGAGAACAAGACAGTCGACTAGCAAGAAATCCCTTGTCCATGTCGACAGCGTAAATATCTCCTTCCATGTATCTGCGATTTTACCTACGCGAACGATGGAGAAATTGATCGACAAGTGTTTCGGACATTATAGGATTTCTTTTTTCTTTTTCTTTTTTTCATTTGGTAGAATTTTTACAATCAATCCTCATTGAGAATTGTAAGTAAATTATTTTGACGTGGTACTTCTGATTCTAGTTGAATCTAATGCTTAGATCTAAAGGGTAATGTCTTTTTAGCCTGCGGATCTGATCCGTCGAGTCAAGTAATTGGGCATGTCCTACTGGACAAATTGTAAAATCCAAATAAATAGATAAAAAAAAAAAAAGTAATTGGGTAACTAATGGGTTTTGGTGGTTGTTAACTCTTATATTGTATCTGTTACTGAATTTGGATATTTCTTCTTTAACTGTGGATATCTTAAGGTTGCGATGCATTGTTTCGTTGGTAACATACCAAGGTACATGTATTAAGGATCTTAGATTTTTTTGATTGGAATCGTTGAAGAATTTCTATGTTGGAATTACTCGCTGTTCCCCATAATTGGATTATAAGATTAAAGAGAAAATATGCAAACGAAAAAGAATTATTGGTAAAAACGTGTAAATCGAGGTGTTCCAACTTGCTCTTGGGGATGTTCGGAATTTGCGAGAATTTTTGGTCGTACGCGAAGGTTGGAAAAGAAGAAAAGCAGTTGTTGCGAGAAAGGAAAGTAAATGACAATGATGATTCTTAGAAACTACCAGGTAGGAAGTCTTCTTACATTTTAAGAGAGAGAGAGTTGGTTTGCGAGAGTCTTAGTATCCTAGTGGTAAGAAAAGTTTCGATTATAATAGAAAATTTGATGATGTTCGATCATAGATCAAGAAATATCTCGTCGAATGCAATTATAACAAAAAGATTCATTAATATAAAGCGTAGAATATTTCTTGAATCTTCAACTTTACTGCTGACGATTTTAGTATATTTACGGTAAAAAAACCTTCGATCGCGATACTAAACAGCGATTGAGATTCAGAATGCAACGGTCACGATTTCGCCGGAATATACGTTCCATCTAAAAACGCGGTCATTCCGCGGATAAATGAAGAGGTACGCGAGTTTCCAAAGGGCAAAAAGACACAGCCACGATCGGGTTCCTTTGATTTACGAACGTAATCGGCCGTGGTCGATTATAAATCCCGAGTTCTTCTCAGTTCGCCGGCTATTAATGGTGATTAATTATCATTGAGGGGGGAGGGGCGTGTAATTGAGTACGTTATGGTACGCACCTGCTAGTCATTGCTCTACGCGGGGCCATCGCTCACGTCACGAATGTAAGACACGTAGAACGAGGACACCGTCCGCAAGAACCGAATGGCCGAAGGAAAGCACCGCCGAGCCTCACTGGAATTTGTAAAAACGCGAGCTGACTACTTCGTTAAAGGAGTCTTGCGAGAGCGAACTCGCCTTCGAGGAATCATAGCGAACGATGAATCGACGATCAGCTTCCGATGATCGTTTCTAGAAATATTGGATCGTCAAGGATCTATGGCAGCAGCTATTTCGTTTATTCCGGCTGATTCAGGTAGCTGTATTGCTTGTATTGCGGTCATAAATTGAGGAAGGAAACGTGGACGATGATGTTCGCTACGGATGGTACTTGTTATACTTTGTTGGTTAATTAAGATCTCCTTTGGTAGAATGAAGACTCGATAATTGCGTATTTTGACGTTACGGTTTAACAGCGGAATAGGTAACAATGTATTTTATTGCAACAGAAGTGAGAAACAATTTCCAAAATTAGGGTGTAAAGTCACAGTAATATCGTCGTTTCTTCGAAATAGGGAAACCAATCTACAGAATTCGAGCAAAGATAGAAGAAACGATAATTGAGTATTTTGAAACGATCCTGAAACATACTGATAGAAGGAAGATGTATCGGTGACTATAGGTCCATTTTTCAAGAAGAAAAATTCACATCACCCAAAATAGTGACATCCATTCACGCAAATCTATTTGCTCACAATAAACGCTATCAAACAGCACCACACTAGAGTCTCTCCCATCGGAGCACATTCTCCCCCAAAAGGAATCCTAACCACAAAGGTTGGTACTTTATTCACGGATCACCAACGTCGTGTCAACAATTGCAAAGTCTGTGACTAAAGATTCAATATCCAACTCTCTGACGACAGTGAGGAAAATCAAGAGGGGTGGGGGTTGTGAAGGGCAAGAAAGCATGGTGCTCAGAGTCGCGCGTGACGTCTCAACTTTCGTCGAACCGGAACCCACGGCGGTATTTGTTTGCCATTTATGCCCATTTAGAGCGGAACCCAGGGCGCGCGCCAACGACCCCCCTTCGTTCACGGCCTCGATAACGACGAGAAACGTTTCTTTGGGAAACGCTGTTCCGTCCTCGCGAGCAAAGGCCGCTACACAAATCGTTTCCCGTATTTCCACCGGGCCCACCAATGGCAATACGACGTTATTGATTCATTGGGACGGTACTGGACCCCCTCGTTGCTTTTCACGAATTCGCTTAGGTCGACAGGAATTCGCCACGCTTTTTCGACACGGCCTCTTATTCCAGTCTACCTTCGAAGCTCTGGTATCTCGAGAACAACAGCCTGCCCTCTTTCTTCCTCGTCGTTTCTTACTTCGTTCGTTTTTCGATGGTAGGTCGCAAGAACGATTTCGTTGCCTCCAATGCAGTTTTGAAGAATTTGGTCCAGTGGACAGATGTTTTCGATGGTTTCATATGGTTGATGGAAGAGTTATAAATTACAGCCAAGCTATTGTCGGGAAAAAAAGCATCTCGGTTTCCGGCGCTGCAAATATTTTCATCCCTCGAGACTATGTGATTCTCAGAGGAGTATTCCACGATTTTTAGGATAGTTGCCGCTTTTTCTTTGATCTTGATCTTAATGGTGATTGTGGCGATTGGGAGCAGATCGATTAGGAAAGTTTGCATTAAGAGGGTGTCCTGAATTAGAATGTTCTAAAACAGCGTCCTTTTGTGATTTTTTATAGAAGGGAAAGAAAGAAATGAAATTATTAAATTTTGAGGTATAGTTTTGTATATATTTAACAAATACAAAAAAATTTTGTTAAAGTCAAAAAAAGATTATAACAGATTTCTAAGCCTATTTCATGGGCTGCAGTTTTCAATCAACGGGGAAGATCCACCTCGTAATTCTTGACCGAAATAGAAAACCAACAAAGGATTAAATTACTATATATTTTTCTCCTCGATGAACCAAAAAAGTTCGTCAAAAAATTTATTTAAATAATTGTTGTAGTGCCTTAAAGTTTATTTTTTCTTTTTATAAAATACATCTTTTCTTTAAACCCGCCAAAATGTTTAATTTCACACTATTTTCTCCCTTTTTTTTTAGTATATCGAGAAGAAAAATAATAATAATAATAAAGAAATAATAATAATTTAATCCTTTTTTAGTTTTTTGTTTCGGACAAGAATTACGAGGTGGATCTTTCACGCCGATTGAAAACTGCAGCCCATGAAATAGGCTTACAAATCTGTTATAATCTTCTTTTTTACTTTAAAAAAATTTTTTTTGTATTCGTTAAATATATACAAATCCATACCTCAAAATTCAATAACTTCATTTCTTTCTTTCCCTTCTAAAAAGAATCACAAAAAGACGCTGTTTTAGAATATTCTAATTCAGGACAGCTCCTTAAGGTGTCAAGGGAACGAATCTTCTTTTCGTTTTGAAATATATTCCTCGAAACAGACGAAGAAGATTTAGGAAAAAGACTTTGGAATGAAGTAAGCATTCATATTTGAGCCACTTTAATGATCTTCGAAGATGGTATCCCACTGGGGGTAGCCATCTACATGTTATATTATTATACCACTAAGCTATAATATTTTATCATTCGAAGATGGTATCCCACTGGGGGTATGGTATCCCACTGGGGGTAGCCATCTACATGTTATATTATTATACCACTAAGCTATAATATTTTATCAAATGTCCTACTGGACAAATTGTAAAATGTAAATAAATAAATAAAAAGCTTTAATGATCAGCATGGAAGAATATTTCTTTTTTTATTATTTAATTTGTACTTTACAGTTTGTCTAGCTGGACATTCGGTCAATTTTTCTAGCTTTATTGCTAATTAACATGTAGATGATTACCCCCAGGGGGATACTATCTTCGAGTTTGTTTATTTTATTTCTTTAGTGAGGTCAGTGCGGTGTTTTCTCTCTAGTCTTCTTTTGATCATGAAAGAATATGTGATTGGTATTTTTGTTATTATTATTATTTAATTTTTACTATACAATTTGTCCAGCTGGACATTCAGTAAATTTTTCCAGCTGTGATTAATATTTAATCCTTCAGAAAGCAAACAATCGATTCCATCTTAGTCTGAATTTGAAATTACAGATGAAAAAAGCAGTTTCACCACCACATTTCCGTCTACCCTAGTACTCGAGCATGTGTTTTTAGTCTTGTCTAGTGTTCCAACTCACAAATATTTCAGCAGCTTCCGAATTCCGACTGCAGTATAGAGTTACACTTACGTTGTCTGTTTTCTTTCGTCCTAAAAGTGTGAAAAAGGGATCCCGTGGTTTAAGCGGACAAAAGTTCGACGAAGAAGAAAGATTGTGTGTGGGATAAATTGCGTTCATTGTGACCCACTTCCGCCATGTGCCCAACACACGCTTTCCGTGTAAATGGAAAAGTGATTTTTCACGAGCTGCGTAAACAGACATCGTGAAATCCTGTGACAGCAACACGGAATTCCGCAAACGGCACTTTCGGGAAGTTATTTGACCAGTTCGAGCGCAGTCAACGACAAAATTTATGTGGACGCCTCGAGGACGAACGTCCAGGTCTTTTAAACATCCGCTCATGTTGCTCTGGATTTGGACTTTCTCTTTTCCGCCAAAGATATGGTAGTAAAGTGTGGGAGGAGATGACAGTGAAACTTGAATACTGTGCTTCACATTCTGTTAACGATGATATTCTTTGTAGAGTGAATGAAGAAACCTCAGACTATTCAAAGTTGGAAATGTGTTCTAATACAACTTGAAACTTAAATGGAAACTTAAAGCTTAAACCTAAGCTTAAGCTTGAAGCTTACACTTGGAATTGGAACGTTCAAGTTTGAAATTTTCAAACTTTGCAATCTCGAAATTTTGCAAACTGAAAAATTGAAAAACTTATGATACGAAATCTTCGCTCCTCAACTTGAACCCAAAAAGAAGTTCCACTTTTGTTCCAAGAATTTGAAATATTTGATTTCTCGGACGATTTTACAATGCATCAGAAACACTGATAAATATTCTGAAAAATTGTAAATTCTTCTAAAATCGACCGAAGAAGTAACTCAGGCACAAATACTTTCGAAACGCGTTTATTTCTCGGCGAACGCCATGAATCCATCGTCGAGTCGATTTTAAGAGGGTGTCAATGTCTGGTCTCCGCAGGGGGAAACAAGGACATTATTCGCGGTCTGCCAAACTTCGCCCGGGATCACCCGCTTTGGTCCCTATAAAACGGTGCAAACGGCAGTCGTTACATCGTGTTTGTAAAGTTTATAGGAGATCGTGTGAGCTAGTATGTTGGACACACCCACGCCACTCCCACTCGGCGTGAGTCCGTGCCTTCCTTCCATGGATCCAGCGCTCTCTTTGCAACCCTTCTGCATCTCTCGCTTCTACGTCCTCCATGAGACTTTTTATAGAAAAATTACATCAAATACCAAAAGCAAACAACTACATATACTTTAACAATATTTATCAAACAGTAAACAGTTCATTTCAAGCCATATAGATCCAGGAAGAACAACAGGATTAATTATGCAAGAGGACATTGAACTAAGGAACGTTGACTAACAAACGATTCGAACTACAAATATTATAAGAAAGAAAAAAACCAAGATATATAATCGTAACAGAGCTAGGTTTTATGGATCGTTCATCTTCCATGTTTCGATTAAAAATAATGGCTATTATGTGGTCAAAAAATTGAATAGCCCAGTGATTCATCAGTTAAGTTACACTGAAACCTGCCGTGGTTAAACAAGGGAGTGACCGCCATTAACGCAGTCGGTATTTATGAACGTTCGTATAAAGACGTGTTGCTACGAGACAAACCACGGTCGTATTCAAATTAACGCCATAAACGCGACTCGTGCCCTCCGTTCCCTCTCTTCTATACTCTCTATTCTACGGGGAGCTAGTAGTTTAAAGAGCGTATAAAATATTGATCACGACCAATTAACTTCCAGGCAGAAGTCAAAAGTCCGAAGAACGAGAAGAGAAGAGGAGAGGGTCCAGAGAGACATTCAGGCATTCTGACTTTCCTTTGTCCGTTGCCATAAACTTTTGGAAAGTACACACCTGGAATTCACTTTCGACCGTTTAGCTTACGATCCCCTCGTAAACGCTGTCGAAACTGATGTTCCAAGATCCTGAACCTCGTTCTTCGAGCCGTCCAATTATTTACGACGTCCCCGTCTCGACTATTTTTATTATTTGCTCAGAAAATATTATCATTGGCAATAAATTGCTGGTGAGATAATAATGCGTCGCGATCAACAAATGTAATCCTTCCTCTTGATCAGATAAAAATCAGATAAAGAAGAGAAAAAAAGAAGGAAGTTGGAAAAGGATAAGGTTAAATGGAATATTTGTACACGTTGTCAACGCGACACGTGTATGACATTAATGAAAGAACATTAAAAAACGAATTCTCTGGTCGATACCAAACGGACGTTCCGAGTTATTGAGAAACTCCCAAGTATGTATCTGCGTATTTTGAAAAGCCGTAAAAATTTGTTTTTCTCAGCAAGAATATTTTGTAGCTTTACTTCATTCGAATTTTCAGATTGGACAAGCTTTCTGTTGTTTGAGCGAAACAAATCGATCGTTTAATACTAATGAAAATTTGTTACTCGCTATATGATAATCTATTAACTATTAATCATTATTGGAATAATGAGAGAAGAATAAAATATCGAGGAGTACATCGTCAGGAAATACAGAAGTGGTACCTGTGCTCTTTCTTTAACACGCCTAGCCACCGAATTTACGATCGAACAAAAAGCTCGCGGCAATAAAGGTGACAAAATATTTCCACCGGAAAATATTTACGACTCGCCATATTTCAAGGCAGCTCCGGCACGAGTGGATCGCCGTGCCAAAGATTTCTGCGAGGAAAGCGGCCAGTCATTGTTCCCGCTCGCCGAATCGACTATTTATTGGCATTCGCGAGGCTGAAGTACGTAAATCTTACAGACGAGCTGCCGCGAGCAGACGGGGCCAACCTCGAACCTCATAATTTGTTCTACATTGTCGTTTTTACTAATACGATCTCGCGTCCAATGCATCTTCGCAACGCGGATAATACTGGGGTAAAAAATGAACCAGTTCTGGTAGCACAAAGTTTCTACAAAAAGCCAGTTTCACGTCTTATCGTTTTATAAGATGATATGAAAATCCATGTAAACAATAAGAAAGAACGAGAAAGAATTATTTATTCGCAACATTTCTCCTTAATCACATTTCTAAAATAGCTCAAAAATTTATCCAATTTATTCCCGCTACCCCGCTGGGGGTAGCCACCCACATGATAATCAAACAGCCAAAAAATTCTACCAAATGTCCAAATCGGACAAATTGTGAATGTAAACAACTAAATAAAAAAAAGGAAAAAAATTATTCCCACGATCTTTTCCTAAAATCAACCTCATAAATTACTCTTCTCGAGCAACGCTAAAACGATAATAATTTATCTCAATAGTAAGAGGTAATAAAGAAATATATTTATTTACAAATTTTTTCCTAGGATTCCCAATTCCCTAGAAACTCTACATTCCACGACGTTCCCACCACAAAACACCCTGCACAACCCTCTTCCTTATACCAATATCTCATCGTAGCAACGAAACCCAGAAACACCGACTCGTCTTCAACTACAGTGCTGATGTCACGAACGACAAAGTATGGAGACGTCTGGCACATTATGTTCTCGCAAGAATCGTAAAGGGTTGATTTTACTGGCGCATCGCGTTCTCCCTTCGTCGTAGAATTCCTCCTCTCTTCGGCGATGCAGCGTTAACGTTAGAGAGATAAAAAAAGAGACAGACGATGATGTCACCATCGTTTTGCCTTGAACTTGGCCGCGGAATTCAGGATTAGAGGTGCATCGCTGTGTAATTCTTTAATTGCATCGGCTAATTGGCTATGAGTGGCGCCACGGTGCCACGGGACATCGGCGATGACAATTATTCCGCGATCCAACGATCCGCCTGTAAATTGCTCCGGCATTTTTATCGTTCGTTTAATCGGCCGTTTCCCCGGTTCCTTGTCCAGCCGCGTTTCTTGCGTCCCTGTGCACGCGTGACGATCGCCAGGGACCGCTCTAACGACGTGTAATTTATTATTTTGCTGGACGGCACGAATTTGCTAATTGAGATTAAGCCGACTCTGTCGGTTTCGCAGATCACGATCGATGGATTCCCTCGCGGATCGAATACGAGGAACCTTTGCTATTGAACTTGGTCCACAGACTAGTGTGGAGTATATTCTATACTTGTGATACTTATAATATATATTACAAATTATTTTAGTGTTGGTTATTTAACA